TGCCTCGGTAAGAAGCTTTCGAAGTTCCGGGGGTGGCTTAGCCAGTCTCCAGACCTGAACCCTGTAGCGTGGGTTCAGAGCTGAAACTCCGTGTTGCCCAGCGACAGCCCCAAAACCTGAAAGATCTGGAGAAGACCTGTATGGAGGAGTGGGCCAAAATCCCTGCTGCAGTGTGTGCAAACCTGGTCAACAACTACAGGAAACGTCTGACCTCTGTAATTGTAAACAAAGGTTTCAGTACCAAATGTTAAGTTCTATTTTTCTATTGTATCAAATACTTATTTCATGCAATAAAATGGAAATAAATTATTTAAAAATGTAACAATGTGATTTACTGTAATATTTGGGTAGATTCTGTCTCTCACTGTTGAGGTGTACCTACAATGAAAATTACAGATCTGTCCATTCTTTGTAAGTGGGAAAACTTGACAAATCGGCGGTGTATCAAATACTTATTTGCCCCACTGTATGTGCATAAACATAAAGGCATGGGTGTTATAGGACCCTACCAGTGTTTTATGCATTAATTATCCCATTAAGTACAACCACTGTAATTTTTCTATTACTGCTGAACATTATTTAAGGCATTCTGCAGTGATCTAGCTTGGAGCTTGAATGCTCTCCCTTTTTTAAAGTGTTTAGGGTAGGTCTGGTGCTTTTTCTTGTCAAAAACACTAAAATGTTACAAAAACCATAATTCATCCTTATAACAAGTAGTTGATATAGTGTAGTTTTTCTCTACCATGGGAGACTCAGTGGTTTACAACCTGCAAGACAAGGGCCATGTGACTGTCGGGATTGCTGAGCTAGCACTACTGATAGTAGTCTAATCTGCTGCTGACCACAATCATCTAGTTATCTAACACTGAATGGGTTTGACTGTGTTGTTTTCAGAGGTTTAGAAGGTTTAGAAGTCACTTCGCATTCTTTATTGTTCTTTAATTTTACCATATTTAGATTATTGTGTTGAGAGTTGGGGAAATACATACAAAAGTTCACTGCAGTCATTATTTATACTTCAGAAAAGGGCCATTTTCCATAAGCTTGGATACCGGGATCATACTAGTGCATCATTCATACAGTCTGAATTGTTAAAATTTTTTGATCTAGTGGAGTATAAATCTGCTGTGTTTATGTATAAAGCTAGAAACAATCAGTTGCCGGGTGGAATTCAAAAACTGTTTAATGAGAGAGAGGGAGGATACAATTTAAGAGGCCATTTAAACTTAAAAATTTACTCTATACGTACAACCAATAAAGTTTCTGTATATCTGTAAGTGGTGTAAAATTGTGGAACAAATTAAAGGACGACTTAAAACAATGTACAAGCATAAAACAGTTTAAATATAAAAAAGGCTGTATTTCAAGGTATAGGAAAGATGAGGTATAGTGCAGATCATATGGGAGTACTCGGGGTGTGGTGTATGATAATAAAAATCATGTATAGACTTTGTATTAATCTTGTGGATGTGAGAGGTGTTGATTAAGTTAATGCTGTTTTAGTATTGAGTTATTTAACAATGTTATTTTGTATAGTTAGTACACGACGATCTGTGTGTGCAATGACGAATTTGTGTTAGAGTGCAAGTAGAGTCACTGTGGTGTTGGTTGTTTGGTGCTGGATGTGGGTGCATGTCAGGGCTGGTTCTTGGCGGTTTTTGGGGGTTTGACTGGTTGTTGATGGGGTCGATGGCGCTGGCATAGCTATACCATGGTCTAAGAAAGGGGGTAGAACTAGATAAGTCTGTACTTCTTTCTACTCCCTTTCAAGCATGTAATGGTGGTAGTATCTGTAATTTACTTCATGAATGTGAATATGACTGAATTGTGTACTATTTTGACTTTATATTGTTATTAGTTCTTTCTTCTTGTATTGTATATGCACTACCTATATTTTGTTTTTTTTTTCTTTTCTCACAATTTTATTTCTGTAATGCTATTTTATTTTTTACATGCTTGAAATAAACTAAACAAAACTAAAAAACTAAAACTATTTTTTTAAACAGACACATTTCAGGACCTGAAAACTGCAGTTGCCTTAGTGGAATGGCACTGTGCAGTGTCCTCTTCACTGTCTGGTTTTCCTCTAGAGCTGGTGCAAGGCCTTGAATGGGCAACGGACTCGCACGTTCAATAATGCGGCAGCAAGTCTACAATAATAAAACTGACACAGCCACTGGGAAGTAATCTGGATCGAAGAGATGGTTTTCAAAATCTGATTAACTCGAAGTTTTTACATAAATATTCACAAGTTCATAATTCCAGTAACACTTGTGGTATTCTTTCCTCATTGTTTACCTTCTAGAGTGCAAGTAGACAAACTAGCAAGGTTACTAAAAGTGCCTTTGGTTACCCCGTCAGTCAGGTACCTCTTGCGCTACAGGTCATAGCTGTCTGTCAAGTTTCCCCACCCCACAGAACTCCAGTGTTGTCCAAGCACAATTAGAAATGCATCGGTTTGGAAAAACCCTGTAGTGTCCAGCTGTTTTAGGAAATCACAGCCTTTTTAAAAATGACGCCATGTGTATATTTATTAATTTAATGGTGTTCTTAAAAACTGATTATGTGTTCAGTTGGAACCAATGGGCTTAGGGCTGAGGGCCACAGACTCTGTAGAGAAGTTGGAAAGCATTAAGAGATGGACTCATTGTGGGATTTGGCCTTTTTAAAGGGTCCGTTGACAGTAACAAAATTTCAGATGTCACCAGCCTGATCCCTTAAAAGATAAGTTTCTTACTACAGTGAAATGAGCTTAAAAGAAAAAAACGTTCACGAATGGTGAACGGTTGTGAACGTGCTGAACACTGAAATAATCCTTTTGAAAGATCCATCAAACTTTACTCAACATAAAAACTTGTGTTTGTGCAGCAGTATGAAAGTGTGAGGACTCTTGTTGGTCTCTGTTTAACAGTCCATTATCACCAATGAGTTTATCAAGGGCAGACAAAAGGCATTTCTCCTGCTCATTTCTTAGCAATGGATGCTTCACAAGCAGAAATGACAGTGTGGACAAAAGACAAGTTGTTAATTTATCTTCCCTATATGACCCTGATGCAAATGAGGAAAATGAAAGCAAGCAATCAATTCCCTAATTAGGTTTGTGCTATTTTAACTTGTTACGGGGGCCTGCACTACATTAAAGAGAAGGTCAATTTCTCATTTTAACAATTACTGTATTCATTTCGCTGCACAACTGAGGGATCCAGTTGGGAGGAGACTGTGGAACCAGATGCCTCCCCATTGTGAGTCTACCACCACCCCATCTCACTGATCTCACTCATCATAATCACTACGGCCTGCTGACAATAGCTTGGCCCAAAATTATATGTCTGCATTTTAAATTAAGCAGATTATGGGTCACTTTTTAAATTATTGGTTATCTGGGCATTTTTATAAGGCAGAATTTCTAATTAAAGGCTTGATATTTTGAAATGATTTCATTGTCTTATCTCTAAGAATGCAACCAAGTATTAAATACCCTGAAAACTTGAGAAAGAAAACTATTTATTACAATCTGAACACTCAAGAACCCAGCTAATGTTATTCAGGACCTTGTGGGTTTGTTGTAAACACATCTGATTAACATTAGGTAACTGTCAACAGATTGTTTTAAATGTTGTAAGATCTTGAGCATTACATGGCACACTGATCATTATAAACCAGTGAGAAACAGTTCAGACAGAAAAGCCTCTTGTGAAATATCAAAATGTCTATGTTGGCTGTGTATCTTGTAGTTACCACCTCAGATCACTCATAAGGAGCTGATTGGAAAAAAAAAAACATTTTCAGGGATGTACTGGAAATAAAACATACAAAAACAACTTTGGAGTGTTGCTCCTAAATCCACACAGTGCCATGTTTCATGTCATTCCTTTAGCGAGGACAAGCAAACAGCAGTGACAGGACATTTATTTTATTGCTGATAAGCAAACCAGACTGTTGATATACAGCATGACTCAGTGACTCCTCCATTACATCGATACTTTATTTACCAGGAAGGCAAAACCACAGAATTAGAATTAGATCATACATCCCAGCTCTAAAAGAAACGCATTTAATTAGTGTAACTGAAATCTTCTCTTTATGAGGAGGGAGGAGGATTTTTGCTGCAGAGCTATAAATCTAAAGGAAGAGTGGGAGAGCAGTGTGTGCTGATTAATTTCTGTTACTATACTGTTACTAATATTTTCCTCCTGTTGCCATTGAGACAGAAAAAGCAGCAATCTGTTAGAAGCTCAACAAACCAGGCAACCTTTAAACAAGATGCACTTAATCCTCCTGGTGTTTGCTTTAATAAGTGAGGGACTGGGGCTTTGTCTGGGCCCAGAGTGGCGGGATGTTTGTGAACCCTGACCTCTTATCGCCCTTTATCTGCATTTGAACGGGTTTCAACAGGTTTCTAGTGTGGCAACGCAAAGTGGACTAATAACATTGAATATAGGTCTAGTTTGCAAGTAGGTAATGTATCAACTCCATGTCCCAGTGCTGCCATGGGTTCAACCGGAGTTCATGTTGTTAGTATTACAGACCTTCCATGCTCTCAGATCTCACACAGATCAAAAGGGCTTTGTGAGGAATGCCACCCTCAGCCAATTAATGCCCCCGAGTCCAGCTGCTCCGCCTGTGAGATCCAGGATAAGCACTTTTCACTGCCTCAACTTTTTTCTTTGCTCCCACCTTGGTTTTAAATAATTGCTCAGCTCCTTGGAAAGGTTTTGCGGTTCACACCTCAAGCACGGCATGACAGGAGTCTAAAAGTGACCTTGACCTGCTTGGGCCAAAAAACAATCCAGCTGAGATTCAGCAGAGAGGGCTCTACATAAATCCCACCCACGCTAACAGCAAGGAGATACGGAGATTGAACTGAGCCATTTTAGAAGAACCTCACTTTAGATAAAATTTCAGGGACAACAGTTACTTTTCAGGCATTTAAATGGCTCTCTAAAATGCAGGCTGACCTTAGGCAACTGTGGGGGGCTTCTCACTCAAGGACTCTGAAACCGGACACGCTGCGGCTTCCAGAATTAATCTGGTTATAGTTTGGTGGTAGAGCAGTAAAAAAAACCTGCCGCACTCATCTTCAAGTCATGGCTCTGACCGCATAGTGACATCCCAAATTACACAGAGGTGCAGAGGCTTGAATAATCCCACTCCAGACCATTTGTTGTTTCAGGATGAATATTAGTTTTATAGCGAATCATATTCAGGTTCATTTATATGGTTTCACCTACACCCAGCCTTTGGTCTTGTACTGTATAGGTTAATGTGTATGGCACATTCAGAGTTGAGGCTTAAATTCCCTCTAGGCAAACTTTGATGAAACTGTGGCCATAGTGATTGAAAGGCACTTATTGTATGACAATTTGTGTCCAGTAGCACAACTACTTTATCAGTCACAGCCTTTACATGTAAAAGCAGAACAGTTTGCAGCCCTGAAGTTAAGGGTTAAGACAATGCTGCCACCTAGTGAGTGAGGATTGGAGAGCAACAGAAAAATCAGTTAAATCAGTTTTAAAACAAAGTAAAAATCAGGTGTTTTAAGAGTTTAGATCACAAATAACCCCTGACAAAATCCTACTGCAAAGGACCGCTTATAGCATGATATCAGGCATTTTTACTATAGCACACCAGCACAATTTGGTTTGGTGCATCTCCTGTAGTCATACACCAGTGGTGGGCCGTCACCATGCCAACATTTCCAAAAACACAACAGAATGTAAAATGCAAAAATCACTGAACACTTCTTGCAGCCCAACTTTCACAAGAACCAAAACCAAATTTAGAGAAGAGGAAACTAAAAGCACCCTGGGTTGACATCCAGGGGAAGCACTGCATGCTTTTTACTTCAGAGTTCCTAAATGTTAAATTGTCCCAGTCGACTGGTGAATTTGTCCTTATCAATGCTCTTGTGCTCTGGCACGTGCCTGTAGGTGCAGTCCTGTCTCATGCAGCCTGTGGTCCTCCAGAAGAAGCACTCCTTCTTGTACGAGCTACAACAACAACAACAACAACAAAAACAATGTCACTTTAAGATTAAATTATATGTCCAAGTGGAGGATGAGTAAAGGCTTGAAAGTAAAATTTTACTTATTTTCCTTTTCACCTCTGATCATTAGAACATAAAAGCAAGATAACTCATATGCCCAGAGTGTAATCCTAGTTAGGAGTTTTAAAAATAATCTTGACAAGAATTGGCAACTACGGATCCTCAGTGTGAGGTAAACCATAAAATAAATCCTGTGGCAAAAAGATCCCACGTACATCCACTGTATTTCAAAGTTTGACAGGTTGTCTTTTCTAGATTTTTACCATGAAATCTAAACGGATCTTACCTCGAACGTGAAAAGAGGTCGGTGGCAGCCATTTTGGACACACCGAGTCCAGTGTTGATTTTAAGGGGATGTCGCACTGACAGAGGAGCCCCCTCTACCACCATTCCCTGAAAAGGAAATAGTTAACATCTGCAGAAACTCATAGTCATTTCATTTAATAGGCACATGTTTGCACTTAAACGACTATTTACTTGAAAATGCTGGTCAATTTTCCATCATACAGATTCTGAGCACCCTCCCCATTGAGGTAAATTACTGAGATTGTCCTCCTGTTTCCCCTGTAATGTTAACCTGATCCAAACAGGCTGTACTGTAAGTATGCAAACAGACACCTACATTAAAACACTGGATGGCTGTGTCACAGTCTTCCTTTCTCGTGTAGTTCACAAAGGCACACTGATGCTCCAGCAGCATCTTGATGCTGTAGATGACCCCAACTCTGAGGAAGAAGGAGGGGGGGTGCAAATTGGAGTAAATCTTTAATACCCCTGTGGGGCAGTTTGCTTTGCAGCTTTTTAGTCAGTGTGGACAAATACACACAACATATCAATAGTAAATAAGTACAGTCAACACACTTTAAACACCACTCGTGTTGATGCGTGTTTCCATCCACCTGTTTTTGTTTATTTTCAGCTAACTTAAAACTACAAAAAAAAAAATAAAAAAAATTCTACCACCGTCAAAATAACACAAAAGCATGCAACTTAAACATTTATTGAAACTTCTTGTCCACTGAAGAGACAACACTAGCACCTCTGTGTGTAGCAATGAGGAGACTAATGTTCCTCAAATTAATATGTGAAACAAACATGTGGCGCAGTGGTTAGCACTGTTGCCTCACAGGAAGAAGGCTCCGGGTTCGGGCCCCGCCCAGGACCTTTCTGTGTGGAGTTTGCATGTTCTCCCCGTGCTTGTGTGGGTTCTCTCCGGGTACTCCAGCTTCCTCCCGCAGTCCAAAGACATGCAGCTTAGGTTGATTGGTGTCTCTAAATTGCCCATAGGGGTGCGTGTGTGGTTGTTCGTCTATGTGTTAGCCCTGCGATGGATTGGCGACCTGTCCAGGGTGTACCCTGCCTTCACCCGATTGCCGGCCAGGATTGGCTCCGTGACCCCGTTCAGGGATTAAGCGGTAGAAAATGAATTCTAAATTATTTCTTACAATCATATTTTTTTAACCAAAGCCAATTCATTTGAAAAACAAATGCAAGATATGTAAGAAAGCAAAATTCAGTGAGATTCCATTGTTCTATTTTTTTTTTAGTATTTTGCATGTCCACCTTTATTTTTAATGACAGATTGGATCTTCCTGGACACGGATGACACTAGTCTTGTAGAAATCTGTGGCCAGACGTTCTGTTGTTCCTCACACATTATTCTTTTCAGCTGCTCTTTGCTGGAGGTGTTTTGTTCTGCCGTCAGCTTTAAAATACTCCACGCGTTCTTTTGGATTCAGGTCAGGGGACATACAGGGCCAGGCAAATTCCTCTCGTGCAAAGCAGCTTGCAGTTTGACCGCTGCTCTTACCTATGTCATCTCACTTCATCTCCAATGGCTTAAATGCACGTCTGGAGAATTAGCACTATCAGCTCTTTATCTCAGTGTGTCTAATTTCTAATATTCACATAACACTAGTGGATGGAAACACATATTAACAGTCTTTTGCCCATCTTCTAAAAATCTGCACAACATTTGGTTGTAAATCTCACTACTATGTTTGCATAGTGTAGTTAAATTAAAATATTTGCCTGAATCTAAATGAAAAGCAGATGAGATTAAACAGGAATTAAAGATGTTAAATATCTTAAAACCTTTTTGAAATCATGTTTGGCTCTTTATGTCACTTTACCTTCAACCTTGCTGCTTTATTTTACTGTGCACACTTAACACTGCTGCTTTTGTTTTTTGTATCCCTGTTGCTGGGACTTTCCATATCTACTGTGAAACTAAAGTTAGCCTCTGATTGTGACAAAGTATTGAAACAAAAACATGCTAGAGGCATAAAGGAAATGAGATTGTGCTTCACCTGCTGAAGAGCTCATGGAGTGTTGCGTAGGTGACAGTAGGAGCCAAGGATCCAACCCAAATGGGGAAAAGTGTCCTTAAGAAACAGAATCAATTTAAATTATATTGCATTCTGGGTACAAATCAGTAAATTGCCCTTAATATCCTAAACTCCACATCCATGTCTGGGTCCTGTAAAGTCAGGGACTCAGTCACCTTCAGTTCAGCTCAGAAATATAGTCTATGATGATACAGCAGCCAAGAACATGATTGGCCCCTATTTTATTAATTAGTTTATCATATTAATAAGAAAAAATGCCAAATCCTCTGGTCCCAGTTTGTCAAATGTGAAGATATGTTGGTTGACTTTATCTTAAACTGAACATCTTGGTGCAATGGTCAAAACAAACATATAAGATAAAACTGTGATGCCCTTTTCTTCTTTTTACAACATACGACAGGTTTCTGAGTGATGTCAGTGAGATGTATGTGTATGAATGAGGTAGAAAGTGGCAGAACTTATGGGATCAACACTTCAAGTTGGATTTGGTCCTAAAATTGCACAAATGGCAAAAGTAATGAGTAAACAATGTTCATTATCCCAAAAAGCTTTACATTAATGGTGCACATGATCTGGCATTGGTCTGGTACATTTTGAGGAAAGAGCAGATGTTACAAATACTGTGACCATAATGAGGTAAACAGCATGACAACATTCATTTTTAAAAAATGCTAATATTAATTGTGGTTCAGTGCTTTAACAGGTGTGTTGCATCATCACTGCTACTAGCTGCAGCCCCAGGGAAATAACTAAGAATAATACCAGAATTTCTGTTCAAGATGTCAGAAAACAAAAACTTCACACATAAAAATACACAAAGATAATCTCTTACGGTTTCACAGAGCTCCTTGAATGAGGCATTGGTGACTGAGACTTCGATTTGCTTTGTCCCGGAACATTAGACTGCCTGACCTGCTGCGTTCTAAGACGGCTTGTTTGTAGGACAGTCCACTCTCCCTCATCATTATCTTCATCCTGCAACACTGCTTGGTCTGTATTGTCCTTACTGGCAGCAGCCTCTGAGGAGATTGAATACAAGTTGAGTCAAGTACCAAGAAATCACTGAAGTGACTGTTATCCTTACAACTTTGAGAAACAATTCTGTGATGTTTACCTCCAGGACCCGGGTTACTGTCACCACCAAACAGAGCTTCGATGGCTTGCTCTAATGTGGCATGTGTTTTCAAGGCCTCCGAACTCTCCGCCCAGGTGAAGCCCATTTCCTAAAAGGGAAATGCAAAGAGCCACGAATGACTGATACAGTGACATCTAAAACATTCACCAAAAATACTCAAATACATTTTTAAAAATAGCTTCAAATTCCTTCCAGCCGAGACTTTAGAGTCACCCTGACTAAAATGTGCTGGGCGAGTTCACTTCTCCATACACAGGAAGTTTAAAAATAAGTAAAACTTGTGTGTCCAATGCAAACTCCATGTGAACAGGAATTGAAACTCTATAGTAAAATATAAACGCATGACAAAGTGCTCCAGCAGTGCTCTAGCTAAAATAAACTGGATTTTCTAACAGCAGATTTTGTGTTCATTTGGCATCTTTATGTACTGACGGAATGGGATTTCTGGGGACTGGCATGTGACGCTGCAAAGTTTCCTCTTTAGTGGCTGTGAAGGTTTTCTGCTCCATCAGTTCACTATGGTGAATAACAGTTTTTAATAGCTTGCAACAACCTTAACGCCTTTCAGCAGTATCTAATGATTTCCCCCTCTCTTCTAAAAAAACAAGAACATACAGTTTGTCTTGTGAACTGCTGAACATGAGCTTCCTACCATGAGGTGCAATGTCTGTGCTCGTTTCAGCTCTTGTGTGGCTTCATCACTCGAACTATCCCGCTCCAACACCCGCTTGTAGATCAGCGAGGCCTCGTAGTATTTCTGCCAAAGTAGTAAAAGGTAAGGAATTAAGTAATAAAGCCCTTAAACCTTTATGGAATGTGGAGATTTGACACTTCAGGGTTTATCCTCCACTGCCATGAAACAGAAACTCTTGACTTGCAAATTTAATAAAAATCTCACATCAGTCAACCTTATTCTTGTACCTCAACACCTTGCTGAATTATGGGAGAAGGTTCTGGATATTTCTTGACTTAAACAGCATCTGGGATTATGTGGGAACAGAAGCTGTCACACTTTAAATGGCATAATGTAATGACATCTCTGACTATTGCTAATAAGTGAATATATGAAAAACCTGAAACACTCTGGGGCTTACTAGTACTTCCATGGCATCATAGCGAGGCATGTTTCATTAAATGAGGTGGAGCACAACCTTGTGTATTTAAAAGCAGGCACAACTGTGAATTCGTCTGGTTGCAGATAATGGAAATGGTGTCATTACAACAAAACCTTTTCATTGTTTGACACACTGTTTAAGCCACAGATTTACTTTGGCTACATTGTTGGTTCAAAAGCACAGTGCAGAGGTGACACACTGTGCTCCCACACCAATTATTCCCCCCCCCCAAAAGAATCTCCAAGAGCACAAAACAACATGCTGCCAATATCATGGGGCTACCAACAGTTTCATCTGCGCTGTAGTATTTATAGGCATCTTTGTGAAAATTAAGAACTAGCTGATTTGATTTGATTTGATTTATTCTTTCAAGCATATAAAACAGTTGATATAACAACATTTAGAGAAGCTGCAACATTTAGAGAAACTAGAGAGAAAATAACTACAAATATTCTATCTGGAAGCACAGAAGATAAAGAAGCCATACAGCTCAAAGAGTTTTAAATGGGTACCTTGAGCCCGCAAAGTGCTTTTCCTTTCCTAAATAAACCTTTAACCCAGTTTGGCTCCATGGAGAGTGCTAGGTCAGCATCCCTGAGAGCATTTTCATACTGCTGCATTCTTTCATAACAGAGGGACCGATTTCCAAACAACCTGAAAACCAAAGGTAACATAATTTTAGCACTGTCACTGCTTCTGGGTGCTTCAAAGGCTGATGCTGGTTTATGTACTCACTTAAATTCCCTTGGGTTGAATTTAATGGCATCGGTAAAGCATTTCACTGCCATCTCATACTGTCCAGAGGCAGCCAAGTGATTTCCTGTAACTGGGAGAAAGAGGAAGGACAGTTTTGTCTGTTTCAGGACTTTAACATTAAAGTGTTAACAAAAATATTAATATTAGAGTCACTTACTGGCAAGCTCTCGGCTTCTTTTTGTATACTCATCTGCAGCGAGATCCATTGGTTTCTGTTAAAATCAGTGTTGGTACATTTGTTTGTTAAAGCATGCTCTTTCATGTAGCTGTTTATCAGACAAGTTATGATTCTGGGGTCCAACTGGTTATTATAAATAAAAGGTATATTCACAAATACAGGATTGTACAGGAAAAATAAGGTTTGTCTGTTTCTAAGCTGATGATAATTCCAAATATTGTCCTAGTTTACTTCTTAAGTTACTGATACATCATAAAGAAACATAACTTAAATTTGAACAACTATAATCTGGTGTGATAATACATCTGTCACAGGTTTCTAAGTTTCAACCCTTTATTTGGATAAAACTATACATGATTTCAGTATTCCTACCTCCTTTGTTTCAGGTTTCTCTTCTTTTGTCTTTTGAACGTCAGGCTTCTCCACAATGTTCGTCTTTTCCTCTTTGAGCTGCTCATCTTTCAGTAATTTATTTTTTTTCTTTTTTCTTTCTTTTGCCATCTCCTGGCTACAAGTCTCTGTCTCTTCAGGCACCAATTTACTAGTAGAAGAATATGAATTATTTAAATCCAAACCCTGCGGAGGATAAGACAAGGATAATCCTCTGCAATATGCTCACATGAAAAGGTCATGTCATTCCTAAAATTATGACGAGGGAGAGCATTTCATGGATCTGACACAACCTTTCTGACATGGAACAGATGCGGTTACACCTGGACCATGTTCGAAGGACAGGGCCTGTCTCACATCATTTCCAATCACTCTCAAATGCTGTTAAAAGGATTTTCCTTTGTCATAATATCAAAATTCAGTTCTTGTTGAGATGAACAAGAAACACCGACCCCTCTATTTGGTTGCTATCCACATAAATGTCATTATATCTTGCTTATGGAAACATTGCATTCACTAAAGAAAAAACATGGAGTATCTTGTCTTGTACAGTGACTTAGCCTATATTTATTGGTGCATTTAAATATATCAAGTTAGCTACTAAGAGTTCATTTTTACTATGTACTATTAACAAATATCAATTAATTAGTTTGACATTAAAGAATTCATTAAAAGCAACATGATTTTCAGGCAGTGTTCTAACCCCTGCATTTTCTTGTAGGTATGAGGATAAGATCTCATAATTACAAGATCAGGATCATGTTATTATAAAAAAAATAATAATGTGCTTCCGTATTTACTAAACATGATTCTAGACTTTGCCCTTTCATGTTCATAAGCACATTAAAAGGAAATTAACACAATAATTTTGCTCTACAATGTTAAGTTCTCCACAAACCTTTTGCTCCCCATCCTTTATCTTATTGATCTTCACAACAGTTTCTTCTTTATTATTACCACTGCTGTCGTCACACCCAGCAGCCTCTGTTGTATTGTGTATTTTATATGATTTAGGAGATTCACTTGCTTCTTCATTAGGTTCAATAAAATGATTTTCTTCCTGATTTTCTGAGGAGTCCGACTTCCCTTGTTCTTCCTCCTGAAATGGCATTACAAGCAATCAGAACAGCTGTATATCCTTTATGTCTGCATTTTATTTTCCAGACTATAACAGTTTTGCATATTCACTGTAATTCAGAGTTAAAAAAAAAAAAAAAAAACTTACAGGAAAAACTACTTTATTTGCATTCTCCTTTTCTAATCGTTTCTTTTCTTTTTTACGCTGTGAGAGAAAATCTAAGGTAAGCCACTGTCAAAAGGAAAACACCAGCATTCATTCAAGATCAATGTGTCAACACTGACCAATTTTTTACGCTTGTTCCTCTCAGTTTTCTCCTTACGTCGTTCCTCCTCTGCTATAAGTTCTTTTGCATGTTTCTCAGCCTCCTAAAAAAAAATTTGTGTGGAGATTTGAAATATTTAAAGAACACACAGAAAATCCACAAGTTACTTTACTAAACCTAACATTCCTGTTTTGACAATTAACATAGTCCTGTTCTTAAAATCTTTGCTGCTCTTAAATGTGATCTTAAAATTTATTCCCCAAATTACATGTGTCAGTTAAACAGTTATATCATATTACAAACCAGGGATAAATAAATGTGACCATTTGTTTCATTGTCACACACAAAAGACTTTTTACCTCATCAGTAAGTTGTCTTATTCGTGGATGTGGTTGTAAAGGCCTATGAGCAGTACTTTGTGGATAAAAATCATCATCATCATCATCATCTGAATATATGATGTCACTGTGCAGGTTTGCACTCAAGCTCCTGAAGAAATCTAAACCTACAGACAAATACAAAAAAAAAGAATCATTCTAGGGCTCTGCTTTCAAGCACCTCAAAATCTTAAAAAGAACAGGGGAGATTTCCCAAAGGGCTGATTGTGATGGAGCAGAGTGATAAAACATCTCTCCAATAGTTCTGTATGCAGTACTAATTTCCAAAAGTAATCTGCAGTCTTAATCTCCAATTCTTTTCCACCATTAAATTGAAATAACCTTTAACCAGTGCAGAAAAAGGCCTTACCCAAGACATCCAGGAAGGAGCCCCCATGACGTCCATTTATTAAATCAACAATTGATTCCTAAGAACAAGAAAAAAGAAAAATGCTTTCATCAACAGTTGACTGAATACCCTCCACAGCTCTCTTTAGGGAGGAAGACTGAAAAGCTCAGAGAAAGTTAGCAAGTGGACTCCTGAATTGAGAGTTGACAGTCAACTAGGAAATTATGAAAATGGATTGTTTTTACTATCGTATGTCATTTTACTAAGCCAAAAAGTAAGGGATAAACGAAGCGATTTCCATCATTATCATGATAATTGTTTTATGCCACTGTTTTATCACTGAATTTGACTTTAGTTTTACATTGCTCTCCAAATACACACGCACCAATGTGCAACCACTTACAATGTTTAGAAGTCAAACTGTTTGTGTTAACCGATAAAAGAACACTATACTGCAAGTGTGCAGAGTACTAAAAAGTTGGGGATAAATAAATTACAGTTGCAACAATTATTCAATTAGTCCTTGGCCAGAAAAATAATTGACAACTACTGTGACAACTGTTTAAGTCATTCTTCAAGACAAACGTTCTACAGTAATTGCTGTTTTTAGCCCTTTACATATGAAAATTTACAGCTTTTCTCCCCGTTTTAAACTACTGTAAACTGAACCTTTGGGTTCTTGATAATGAAAATGACTTATTTGCAGTAACGTAAATTAACACGTAGTAATTCAAGTAGGTGTTCTATACAGCATGTGCGTGTATACCTGTTTATGTTCAATAAAAATATTGACGGATATTCTGTTTTTGTAAGATGCTAGATACATAGTTTTTAAAGTACATTTTGAGCTTTTATTGTGAAAATAAGATGCAATAGCTACACATGGCGGCTGTTACCGCTGTACCTTTATAACCGGAAAGACCTGTTACGGCACAACAATTATGACCAAGCTTTACAGTACTTGAATCATACTCACGTGTGTCCGCATAAGCCTCGAGTTTTCTTGAATTCTGGGTAAAGGAGCAGCATCTGAAAGTCAGAGACAACATGGCGTTAAAATACATCAATTATATTATATAACTAAACAAGCGTCTTTCACGTTACAAAGATAGGGATTATATCAAACGTCATATTATTACATCAGCATTGCTCCGGTACTCACGAAACGCCGAAACTTTAGCTAGCTAGCTACTAAGCTAAGTACACATTTTCAGAAATAACGTTAGCTCAAGTTCTCTGTGAATGGCAAAGAAACTAATAAGCAATCAAGCTATCAAATTACAATAATTTATTTATCCTTACTTTTAACAATCTCTTTCTTTCTTGGCATTGTTTTGGCTTTTGTGATTGTATTGGTTTCCCGCGTCTGTTCAATGTGCGTATCTTGTTGAAGGCAAATAGTACAGTACGCAACAGAGACAAAATCTCTTCGCTTGTCGTTTCCGTGTTTGACAAATTGAGGCTTCTTTTCCTGGATTAAATCTTACAGGCTGTTACCACATCCAAGAACCTCCACCAATCAGATGACCAAGATTGGGTTTCATTGTTTTCAGGGCTCTGGTTTGATATCACCCCTGCCAATCACAGTAAAGTAGGCGGGATTTGAATCCTGCTGGCTGCCTGAGTTGAATGCTGAGGGCATAAAGGGCTATATAGAATACTCTGTGTATTTTTTAAAATTCGCATTGAATATATTCACTAAACACATAATAAAGAGGTTGGGACTGGATAATGATTATTCTTGGTATTTTTGAGGTAAAAGAAACGATATGCTATGTGTTTTGTATATTTACACCATTTTACGTATAAAGAGAAACACAGCAAACAAACCAATTATAAGATACAACTACAATGAACAACTTCTGCCAAAATTTAGTCGCAAGACTTGATTATGTTCATGTTGAGCTCATTTGATGGAAATGTAGAATATGTTTATTATTTTTTGAATTTTCTCTAAGATGGCCTGTCCAGATGTCTTATTTTGTTTGACCAACAGTCTAAATACCAAAGATATTCAGCCCTCAATAATATAGAAGAGAGAAAAGAAGGGACATCTTCCTGTTTGAATGACTAAATATAGCAATTATTGTGGCATTTTGGGTTGAAAAATTACTTTAAAAAATCAATTAGTTATGATAATAATTGCGTTATTTTTCAGTTGATTGACCAATTGACTAACTGAATAATCATTGTAGCTTCATTGCTTCTCATTGTGAACTGGAAAGCAAACCATGCACCTGGAAAGCTGCTCCTGTCTACTTTTAGCTTTCCTTGTGCTGTGTTTCAGTTTCTTTTCATTTGCTATGCAGACAGTTCATTTCCTGAGAAATGAATCTTATACCATTATGTAGCAGAATAACATTGGAGAGTTCAGCCAGTCAAAAAAGTTAAAAATGTTGATATAACTACCACAAACTGGTTATAACACTCAAATATAAACTACATCGAAGCATGTTGACACAACTAAATATGGAAAAGTAAATATGATGATGGAATAATTATTACATAGTTATTAAAATATTAAGTAGCAAAGAGGAGCTACTGTGAAAGGCTGAAAAATCAGTGTCGGACCAATGAGCCGTTGTTTGTGTGGAAGAGCTTATGGAACATCACCCTGTGCAGGAGACCGCCCCCCACCTGCTGTGGAGAGCTATCAATTAGCTAACTAGCTGAATATGAGTTTTATTGTAGGTTTGAGAGGCAGAACTCTACACTCCTCTCTCACCTCATCTTGGACCCTCAGCACTTTTATTTCTGAGAGATGATGGGAGAGGTGAGTGAACAGTTTAAAACAATGGCAAAACAGCATCATTCAAGTCAACTGAATATAATTAATAATAACGTAGTGTGTGAGAGTGTTAGAGTAAGTGTGTTTGTGTGGGTGTCTGGGGAAGAGCCTGAAGTGGGAGGTTATGGTATGAGGGTAGAGGGAGAGATTGTATGTTGTATATGTATGTTCATAGAGTCATTGAGCTCAGCAGTCTGATAGCTTGTAGATAGAAGCTGTCTCTGAGCCTACTGGATCTAGCTCTGATTCTTCTGTATCATCTTCCTGATAGTAGTCCTTGATGATTTTCTTGGCTTTCTTCATGATCTTATGAAATGTTACACCGATCATGGGCAGGTAGAGGGGAGTCAGAGCATGCACACACACACACACACACACACAATAACATAACATATAATACATCCATGGATCATCTACATTAGATCATACATCCATGCTCTGGACAAGTCGAACTCCACCCATGTTAATTAATTTTATGCAAGTGTTCTTTAATTCCAATCATGAGCAAGTAATAATAAGCAGAAGAAGAATTGGTCATAGTAGTCACATTGTTTATTATTGGAAAACACCCCACAGACTAGAAAAACAAGATGGCAGTAATGCAACACCAAGATGCCCACTGCCGTAAAACACCACAGTAGAAGAAGAACCGTTCGAATCGGTTCAAACTCTCTCTCGCGCGAGTACATTTCATAGCAACGCTGACAGTAACAACAAAAACAGCAATGGAGCCTCGAGAGGTATTCTTTGTAATTCTAACTTATTTTCTGTGTTTGGAAATGTCATCATACAACATTTTATGTCAAGCTATGTCACACTGTCATGGAAGTTTGATTAAGGTTTACCCAGCGTTGACAGTTAGCTTTAGCTAGCCAAGTGCTAACCGATCTGCTAGACTGTTAGCTAATTTATCGACCGACTAACGAACAAATAAACCTTATAAGTGTAGAGATATTATTGGACGCAACATTTTTGGTAATGCTGTTAACATGGATGACTGGCGGATACACAGTTGCACTCTAACGTTAACGTTTGCAATAAGTAAATTATGCATATTATACAGAGCGCGGTCATGTGTCTTTCACCAATCTTGATATGCGCTCTGTAAAATAAAGTTATCAAACTCTTTATCCACGACTACAAACATAGTTTTAAAGGTTGGTCATGTGAAACAGCAACAGACAGTGGTGTAGACAGCGTGACGTTTCTTATGGTTGATCTCCAGCAACATTAACGTTTACTGTTATGGTCAGTTTTTCATTAATAGCTATCAAAAGCTTTTAATCCAAAAGAAGAAAAAAATAATAAATCACGGTACTACAAATACTAAGGAGTAACTAATCTAGCCATGGGTACTCGTTTGTCTATTTCTTCTATATATGTCACTTTATTTACATTCTTGCTATTTATTTTGTCCAGTATCTGATTTAAACTACTGATGCACAGATGTGGCTAACGTTATGTATTTTATTCCTGTTTCCTTTTGTGAGTGGTCTGCTAAATGGTTAAAAATCTCTGCTCTCAAATTTGTGTTCTCACTTATATTTGTGACCTATTAACCCACCAAAGTGCCAGCAAACCGCTTCTTTGAGCCCCTACTGACCCACTTTAATTAATTTAAAATCCAAAATTAGTGTAAGAAAATGCACTAAGTAGATTTTGAAATAGCCTCTTCTACAGAAACTGGACCCACAGACTGGGAAGAACAATATGTCAACACAGAGGAAGCTCGTTATACAAAGTGAAGGCAGCTGGGTGGAATGACTTGTTCCTTGTCCTGTAGAGTTTTGTGCTGAATGTGTTCTGCTGCTCACTCAGCAGATTGTGGAAGGTCTGTGGGACATTTTTTGTGGTGGATAATAATTTGTGCAGTATGATTCTCTCTGCTACCAACTTTAGACACTATAGAGTTGTTTCCTGCAGCTGTTGTTTTAAGCCTCCAGAGAAACATTACAGTTTGGTTAGCAGTGTTAATAGTAACTGTGAGGTTTTTTTTTTTGGTGATTTGGTTTGCAGAGGGTGGCAGTGTCTCATCAGCTGTCAGCAAATGAAGGTGTGAGTCAGTCTGGTGGACAAACATCCAGAAACCAACTGGGAGCTCAGAGTCACCGCAGCGCCAGTCAAGACCAGAGGCATACAACAGATGGCTGGGAGCTTCGACGGCTAGGGGAGCAATCTTTGCAGCTAGGTGTGTGTGCATTGTATAAAACAAAGAATTTCACTCCCTCTTTGGCTTTTCTGTCATAATGTTGAATAGGATAATGCAGAAAAAATGTATAAACGGAAATCAGTGGTTTTGACTTAAACAAATACTTCATATATGTCCTCCATTTTATGATATTTGTGTATCGAGTTCTGTAATGAATCACTTTTTTAAATTTAAATGATAATGCAAATTTGGAAGCAGTGGTGGTAAATCTGTACTTCTGTTGTAAGTTGTATGCCTGTTTATGGTGGATGTGGATAACGCATTTTCTGTATCAGAATTTCAGGACAGTAACCTCTCTCCAGCCCTTTCCCTCCTGCCTGCAAGTTCTCAAGTGGAGCACAACTTCACTGAATATTCCTTATTTCAACAAAATGACAATGAATTCGCCCCTTTAAGGTAAACAAAAAAACATAAACTACAAGTCAGGTACTGGTTTTGTGAACATAGTTTTCTGCAATATGTCATTTAAATGTTTCAGTGAGAGTTTTGAATTTTTATTCTTTTCAAGGGCATACCCTGATGTTTCCATGGCATCAGAGAAGTTTCACTTTCCACCCCAGGATCACACCATTCAAGCATCTGAGTGTGGCTCACTGTCCCAACACCCTTTGGCCCAGGCAACCAACCTTTCTGAAGAAGGAGTGAGTAGCTGCTGCTCTCTGTCTCAGCACACTTTATCACCAGGAAATGAAGGCAGTGGAGAGGAAATGGCTCATTCCCCACTGATCGCCACCACAGCCAGCCAGCAAATGCCATCCAGAGAAGAAGCAGGCAGCAGAGAAAAGGCCTCAGAGAAACTGGGCAAACTAGTAGTAGAGGCTGCTAAAGATGAGACATTATTTCTGAGTAAGGATATTCCTGCACAGCATCTTCTGGAGCTCCTTCAGAAAGATGTTGGCATGCTAAGCAGCAGCAGTAGTGCAGTTTCCTCTGCCTCAGAGACTTCTGTGAAGAGCATTGCATCTTTGGTTGAAGCATCTAAAAGCAATATAGTTTGCAAATCAGGCACTGACGTGGTTAAAAGAGAAGGCCCTTCAGGTGAAGCTTCTCTTCCTCAGCAGCAAACACCGCAACTTGAGCGAGTTTCAAACCCTGAACAATCTCAGGTTTGTAACATCACCACGGGGTCCCGCAGCACTCAACCTGATGATGGTAGTGAAGTATTGCATAAAGAGCTCCTCTCTGAGGTAGAGAGACGCAGATACTGTGAATCTAAATCAAAAAACCAACAATGTCCAACACCACCTGGTCAGTCTCTCACAGCATATCCCACAGAAGGCAAGTCAGGTGTGGCCGGAATAAATCGGGGTGGTGTGCCATGGACAGGTCCGTTTTCAGCAGGTGTTGAACGAATTCACAGAGAGCAAGACCTGTGGTCCTCAGGAAACCAAACAGGGATTGATGGATCTTACCTGGGTTTCCTTCCCCAGTCTCAGTCTACTCCAGGGATTTTTAAGGTCCCACCCAAATCTGGTGTCAAGGCTAAATTAGGGCAGCTTTCTACTGTAGAATCCAGTAAGAGCTCATATCAGTCAAGCTCAGATATCGCTCCACAACCAGCTGTTCCAGGGAATGAAGCCCATCACCTAAATCAGTGCCAAAAAGAAGCTACCTCTGTAGAAGTCCAGTCTCTACCAAGTCTCAACTATGTGCAGAAAGTAGATGCTTGGAGAGCAAATCAGAGTTCAAGCAAGACCTCACTTTTGGATAGCTTGGCGCTGCAAGGATTTTCTGGCATCTCTCCTAAGAAGAAATGTTATGATGCATTATCTGACACCCCAAGTCAGCAGGTGAGCAGTTTACAGCAGCCTCCAGTTTCAAGTGGTGTCAACCAGAGTGCCACAGGGATCTCCTCCAAAGCTCCTCCTGGCTCCTGTTCTCCAAAAAGAGGGGAGGCAGTAGGTAGTGCTCCCAGTGACAAGGACAACATCGGCTCTGCAGCCAGACCCCTTGCTTCTCCTTTTGGCAGGTCACAGTCCTACTCCTCTCATAGTACAGTTGTCAGGTTGATGCAGAACGATCATCAGAAAGAAAAAGACACGAGTCAGACTCAGGACGGTGTCCATCAGCAGCCTAGTGCCACAGTTCAGCCTTCGCCGCTTGTGAGCCTTGGTCAGTTCAGTGATGTATCACTTGACAGAGATTCAACACTATCAAGTTCCCAAGATAGTTATAAGAGTGGAATTAAATTAAGAACTTCCATTGGAGCTTCCTCTGTCACCAGCCTAGAGGTTGATAATTATGCACCATACTGGACTTCAAAACTGTCAACACCACCTCCTCTGCCCAGGCCTCAAGAGCTCAACATTGAAGAACGAATTCCGGTAATTGAAAAACCTGTAAAAACAGGAAGAGTTTTTTTAAAAAAAAGTTATTAAATAATGTCTGTGCCTGGGAAATTTTATTACGTATAATGGTACATTGCAGACTTGCTTTCAGCAGATAATTAAACTTGTAGGTTTAGTAGTTAACTTTATAAGTGCGCCAAGAAGATGGTGAAGAATACAGTATGCATGTCAGCTTGTGTGTCTGATTCTGATGTGTTCTCTACTCGTCTCTGTTGCAGTTGTATCTCCATAACCTAGGCATTGACCAGTCTCCCTCAACAATCCTGACTCCATTTGTACCCAGAGGGCCTATCAGAGAGCCTGAATTTTCTCCAACTGATCTCTGCACAATTAAAGGATCTACTGGAACGCCAACCAAGAGCACTCAACCTTCTGAAGGTACCTAACTTTGAAACTGTTTTAACTAAAAAAAAAAAAAAAAAAAAAAAAAAGGTGCCATTTTCAAAAGTTGGCTAAAGAAAACCTGTCATTTTGTATTTTCAGGTGGCAGTCCCCAGAAAGGAGAGTTTTCCAGGTCCAGCATTCTGTCACTAGACTCCAGTGTATCCATACCGATCAGCCTGGACAGTCTTGGTCCAGCTGTATCTGTCCCAGAGCAGACCAGACAAGCTTGTCCTTCAGTAGATACACAAACTGTCCAGAGTAAACACAGACTGGCATCCTCCTCCCAGCTTGAAGAAGACCCTTGTTTCTCCACGCTGCAGCCCAGCCAGCAACAACAGGAGGACAGTAGTTTTACCAGCAGCCACAATGATGTCCAGCTGGAGGAGAGGTTTGACCCCGACTTCCCGTTAGCTCGGGGGTTGAGGTGTGGGGAAAGAAACTTGGAGTCACCCCTGCAAACAAGCTGTAGTACAGATCAAAATGCAGATGATTCTGTTGTAAGCTCCAAGGCTTTGTGGGAAATCCGCAAACTGCTCTCTCGAGCGGAGAATCTGGTGTCTCCTCGGTCATCTGCAGCCTCCCCTGCAGTACCCCATCTGCTCTCTGATGATAACATTTTCCTCTCACTGAGGAAGAAAGCCAGCATGCCCCAAGACTCTTCATTCTCCTCCTCCTCTGCTACTGGTGATCCCAGAACTCATTCTTCTTTGCTGTGGGCCAGGTCCTCATCTGACTCTGTGCTGACCTCAGAGAAACCAAGACAACACTCTGTTGGTCGAGAAAGTAAGGCCTCATGGCAACCTGGTTATCCATCCATACAAGCACACGTCACTGCTTCTGCTGCAGATACATACAAAGGGCCACAAAATGTTTCTGCTAGTAGAAGTGTAGGGTTATCCCTTGTCCTCTCCAAGTCGGTCCGACGGGCAGAGCCTGAGGGCTGCAGTGCTGCACCCTCTGACAGCAAAGTCCTAACACAGCCACCAGTCATCCAGCCTCTGCCAGCTGTGAGTGCAAAACAGTTCACCTCTGCTCCTACAGACACAGTGGATGTCCCAGAGCAGGAAGAGAACACTATACCTGGAGGTCCTGTACAGAATAGCTCTTCATCACCCATTCTTGAGGACCCAGATCAGGGAGCGATGAGTGATGGGAGCAGTGAGAGTTCACTGGCTGTCCGAGTGGCCACATTACTGCAGAGTGACTCTTCAGCCGCAATGGTGTCCAGTACAACTACCACCACTGACCAAGAGGAGAGCAAAGCCAGAGGTATGATGGTTCAGACACTGTCAGGGCAACTAAGTTCCTGTTTAAATTCACAGTGATACTTCAGCCATAATTTTTGTAGACAACATTCACCCTATGTAGAGGTAAACATTAGCTCTGAAACACTTTATTCACTCATACATACATCATACTGTCTATAGTGAAATTCAGTGTTTCCACAGTAAAAAGTCATATGCTCAGTGTCGTCCCAACAAAAATACAGGTACTGCAAAGTGTCTGTCTCGCTCTCAGATACAACCATGTTCATTTACACAACATTAATAGACTACTTTAAAATGTTCTACATTAGGTTAAAAGTGTGTTTGGATGTTGCAGAGTGGATTAAGCTGAAGACATCAGGACAGCAGCGTGAGCCTCTAGAGTTGGACAAAGAAGACAGGAGGAGGATTGAGGAGATCAAGAGAGAGCTTCTGTTACAAAACCCTATTGAGGTAGCACTCAAGAAGAGAACCATATGTTTACATTGTACTGTAAATTAAGTGGAATTAAGTGTAAATCGACATTATTTTGTCTGTCACACATTTCCTTTTTAAATCATGTAATTTGTATTTTTATTGTCATTTTAATGTCTCCCCCACAATGTCTGGCCAGTATAAATTTCACTCTTAAGGTAACCCGTGTGTGTGTGTCAGTGAGTGTTTTTTTATAGTTAAGTGTTTATTTTATACAGAGTACTGCTGTTAGGTTAAAGCTGGAAAAAGTGTGGTACTGATTTTAACAACAGTGGCCACAGTGTGGGAAAAAAATAAAAAATAAACACAAGGTCTGATGATAGCAGAGTGGGCTGGCGGGTTAAGCAGGGCGACAACATTTCTAGACTATTTATTTTTGCTCGATTTATCCAAATGTGTGCTAAATCTTAGTTAATGCAGCTGTATTGGTTGCTGTATTGCATCACCTATGCATGTCAGACCTTTGGACCAACTGTTCCCAGTTCTGGTTGTAGTGCCGGTTGCAGTGCTGAAATGTTTCTGATCCCTTATGGCAGATGAATTAATTCACAGGAAAAAATAAACTGTGATCTTGTGTGGTCCCAGGGTTTGAAATAGAATATTGGTTTTTGTTTCTCCTTTCAGAGCCAAGGGAGCACAGATACAGAAAGCAGTGCAACATCCGCTGTCAGAGTCCTGGGGGGACAGGGTCCACCACAGTCGGCAGAGACACTGACCGCCCTCAGTCATGTGAACAACCAACTGCCTCAGCCGCTGCAAGGTCTCAGCACTGACCTCTCTGACTCTAGCATGCAGCTTCAAAACCCTCTCTGCCCTGATATTGAGGTTCAAGTGCGTGAAATTGCTGCTAGAGAAGGAGTCATCCTCCCTAGAACAAACCTTCAGGCCTTCACATCTATCACCATTGCTACCCGAAGGCGCTCCTTCTCTTCTCCTTCCACGTCATCTGCATCTCCCCTCAGCCATGTCTCAGAGCCGCTCAACCTGACCGAGCTCTCCACAGGAGCAGCTGAACACCCTGAAGCTAACTGGAAGCTTCCCCCTACTCTGAATATGCAAGATCATGGGACCAGAGAGCCAGCATCTATGTCTGTACTGAGCAGTAGTCTCCACACCAGAAACCAAAAACTCAATTCTCAGTTAATATCAGAAACTGATAAGAGGCAAAACACTGTAGGAAGTGAACCTGACGAACTTCTTCCAGCCTCAAGGGATTTACATGGAGATGTGAAAGTTGATGGTGCACAGTTATTCAGGAAAAATGAGTTATTTGTCCAGGATAGCTCTGTTTCTGGTGGTCATAGAGCTGAAATGGCCACAGGTTCACCTACCCCTGAATCCCCTGGCAGTACAGGTCACATCTCACATGTCCATCTCACTCTCTCCCCCAAAGCCACTAATCATAGCTTGGCCATTGATGGCCACTCCAGTCATGCTGAAACTGTCACAGTGCAGCCACAGAAAGAATCAGTTCCCCTCATACGCTCATCCTCTGCTGCCAGTAGTCTGGATGAAGGTGTTGGTTTGTCCAGTCCACCTGAGTGGCTTGACACCAGAAAGCCAAAAAGACAGGCGGGAAGAAACGGCACATCCACCCTGTTTAAAACTACTGTACCTCAGAGGAGAATCACATCCACACAATCCTTGACACCATGTGACAGATTCTTTACCCCTGACTCAGCAGGTAGGTTCCTTTAGTTTGATTAATAAACTAATGATTTCAACACTAATTAAACAAGGCTAGTTAATAGTATAACACATCAGGAGACAGACTCTTCTGTAAAATATTAAGTGTAGCTATTCTAAAAGGCTGTTTCCAAGATTGGATTATGACAATATTCTAAGTATATGTGGTGGTTAAAGATGACCTTTTATGTGTCCTCTTCCTCCTCCAGCAGTGCCTGTCTTGTTGCCCTATAAACCTCACGGCAGTGAGGAGCTCTTCTATGTCCCTCAGACAGAACCTGATGTCTCCTCTACATGCCCCTCGGACACGACCCTGGAGAGCTCACACACAGGTATGTCATTTTTTATTGAGCAGCTTTGTTCATATGTTGATGGCAACTGGTGCGCTGGAGTCTCGTGGGCTAAGACTCGGAGATCAGAGTCACATGTTATCCCCATTCATCTCCCCACATTTCCTGCCTGGCTCTCGGGTAAATGCAGCACAGTGGGTATGTTCTACTACACTGCTAGTTTGTGCCAGTAGTAGTAGTAAACAAGTAAACTAATAAATACATATGTTATACAGGTCAACATGGCTGATTCCAAATAATAATAAATCTTTATTTGTACCGCACTTTCCAGCTCAAGAGCACAAAGTGCTACAGCAATAAAAACAGAGTAATACAATATCAGTTAAGAACACTCATAAACAGACAGAAGCCAACAGTGTCAACTTTACCATCATTCCAGAGGAAATTTGGTTTGCTGTTGTACATAAAAATTTAAACAGCAGCAATCCATAGGCAAGGATATAAAATCAATATAAAATACAGCATTAAAAACCTATAAAAACAGGAGGACGTTTGAAATGAGGCTTTGTAGGAAGTGGACTGACGGCTGCCTCCTTCAGCAGAATAATGGGAAAACATCTTGTTGGTGACAAACTGCATCTACACCAGTCAGTGCAGCAGAAGTCTGACATTTTATGACTTATAAATATAAAAAATGTTTTTGTTTAAGGGACTTTTAAAGCTGCAATTTTATGTAAAATTGGCCTTGGAAAATATTTACAGCATGTGAGAGTAGAAACTGACTTGGAAGTGGCAAAAAAAAAAAAAAAAGTTCACCATATTAGAATTCAGCCGTCAGTTGAGTCTGAGCAAGAAGGATCTGCTTTCATTTCCCCTGTGCCTGTGAGGAGCAGCAGCTGGTCTGTTGTAACATATGCCAGGGGGAGGCATGAATTATTCATGTTCAGGGACTGAGTGAGACAAAGAGCTGGGGTCCATGCAGAGAGAAAGAGGGAAAGGGGACTGTAGACTTTGTCTCTTTGAACATCTTCTATTCATTAGTGGCTGAAAATTAAACATTTTAGTCAGTTTACCAGCAGCATTATTCATGTTTCACAAATGAGGATAATGTTAAGTCGAACCTCTGATGGTACTTATCATGACGTAACAAACCACTACTGAATTCTCACCAGGCTCGGATGACGCTGTGCCCCCACGCTTCAGCAGCGAGGTCCTCGGGCACCAGGACCCAGGATTGGACCGTGGAGTCACCATCAAGCACACAGAGGGCATCTATAGCAAGAGGTTGAAAACGGCCACCTTCAAAATGCAGGAACCTGGATACAGAGGTGAGCAAACGCACTGACCACTCAGTGAAGTGTTGGGTATTGAATTATATTGTGTTAAATGCATAAACAAGCACTTCTGGTCCAAGTGAGTAATAAATTCTCATATTGGTAATTTTTTACATATTTCAGTCTAGTTAAATGAAATCTGTGCACTACATGTACTGAAATGAAAGGGACATTGTTGCAGATAAAATGTATTTGAAAAGATCAAAAATGTAGTTCAGAAATGATTTCCAACTACTCCTGGTTTTTTGTTTGTTTTTGTTTTTTTATATTAGGCAAACACTGTATTAAACAAATAGGCTCAGCAGATGTTGTTAAATCCATCATTAGAAACAGTTACTTACCAGGAGAACGTTTAGGGCCATACATTGCTTGCATCAGCAAGGAGGGATGAATGTACTTCTTTGTCTCTGACCATTGAGTGTGAAGAGACAGGAAATGTAGAGAGAGAGAGAGAGAAGGTATGACATGTGGCACTGGTCCTCTGGCTGGGAATTTTTTTTTTAAATTACTTCTACATCATTGTATTGATTAATTGACTGAATGAAATATTAAGTTACAGTATAAGCATTAGTCATGTTAGCTTTTGATTATTGTATATATGCACTGTATGCATGAATGTTTCAATTCTTAAAACACACACCATATGTCAGTAGATATGTCGAACTTCTCTAAAGTTTATTGTGTGGATGCTGAGTTAGTTATATTTTCTGATTTCTTCCCTGCGTTTTTCGGCCCTTAATAACTCCAGCATACTTTCAGCTAGAAAAACCGTTCAACCTTCAAACAATTCAGCAAATCTTCAGTTATTCGTCTTACATTCAGCTTTTTGACATCTATTACAGTTTTTGAATTATCACAGTTTACGTTTTATGGTGGTTTTGGACTTTTCTCAGCCCTCCCCATTTTAGAGTGGGTGGATTTCAGCATTTTCAGGGCGATTCTTCAGCAATCAGCATCCACGTCCATTTGTCTAGTTCTTTTTTCTGTTTTTTGATACATCGTTTCCTCAGGAAATGCATTTGTCTAGTTCTTTCTTCTGTTTTTTGATACATCATGTGCTGCCATTTACAGTATTGTTTTGTCCTTCGGAGTGTGTACAGACTAACAATGAGTAAAAAATGATTTAAGAAAAGTTTTCTGAATTCAGTCTTAACACCTGGGGTATCTCTCTCTCTTCACAGATGCCTCTGTATCAGCAGATAAAAGCTCACAAACAAGTGAGAGCCAAGCTCTGAAGCCATCTTCTCAGGTATCAGTTGCCTTTACCAGAGTGCCTTTATCGAACAACCAAGGATCCTCCAAAAGAGACCAGGGGACCAGCCCGGTCCAGTTTCTTAGTTGTGATCAGCCAGAGTCACGCAGTAAGGCCTTTCAGCCAGTTAATGCAGAAATGCATAATGACAGAACAAGTCATCACCCGGACCAAAGTTCTGTCCCTCAGGTAAGACGGCAGCGAGACCAGCAGAGGGAGGACCCTGATGTCCTTCAGCCCAGAAGCCTGGACCAGCTGTGGCAGAGGTTTTGTTATTGGTGGAGCCTGGAAGAGTCCTGTCCAACCAGCAACAGAGAAGCATCACTACTGGAGCGCCTAGAGCGCCTGTCTCATCTTGTTCATAACACAAGGCCTATTAATGAGTCAGAACAGCAGGAGGGGGGAAGCTGTGATCCTTGCAGCACAAAGCAGAAGCTGGGCAGGAGGAGGCAGGATGCTACAAGGGAAGAAAAAAGACAGTGTAGCAGAGAGGATAGAAGGAATTTACATTATGAGACTAGAGACACAAACAGGAGAGTCAGAGGAACCAGACCGGGAGAAGGTAAACCTCCCATCCATCGTCAGGCCTGGACACACAGGCTTCAGGCAGAGGAAGCATCTCACCCTGCAGAGGGCAGTCAAGCCTCGTCCACCTCCAGCTTCTCTCACAGCTCCTTCCAGAGTCAGCACCTATGGCCCGCAGACAGAGACGAGATGGATACCTTGTCCACCATGTCTGGTTCCATGTCCACTGTCGACACCGCCCGGCTGATCCGGGCTTTCGGTGCCCACCGCGTCCAGCATCTGAAGAGCAGCTCCAGCCTCGGTAAACTTTACAGCACCATCAACAAGCAGAAAGAAGGGAGAGAACAGAGGAGAGGGAGGAACAAAGACTCTCCTCAAATCACCACGCTGTCAGAGACCACTGGCACTGATGAAACGGTATGTACATGTACATGTGCATGTTGTTGTTGTTATCAGCAAGGAAACTGCAGGTTTTGAGAGTTGGCAGCTAATAAAGGAATGCAGAACAATGTGGCACACAAATTACAGATATTAAACGGCTCTTATTTTCTGTCATTGCATCGTTTTGCAGATTTCTGCTCATTCTTCAGCCAGCACTTACACGCTCCCATCACCCCGTGGCCCTTCCAGGTCTTTGGCTACCAAGAAGGCAGTTAAACTGGTTAGCAAAGGCATCCAGGCAGGTCAGTCCAGCAAAAGGTGTTCCTCAGATCGGTGAACAGTGGTTAACGTTTTATGGGACATTGTTTAAATTTTGACATGAGTGTTTGTAGGAAACATTTATAACCTTTAACACACACCGTATGATCCTGGACTGTGTATAACATGGCTCGGTGAGACAGTTACCAACAACTGGGCGCAGCAAAACAGAAAATACATCTGTGTGAAAAATCAATTTGTTATTCTGTTGGCCCAAAAATAAGATGATCCCAGGCCGAGCTTTTGGAAAAAAATTAAAACTAGTCATGTTAAATATCCCAGTGATAAATAATTGTTCTTGTTCTCAAATCCTTTCTCTGGTAAAAGGGAAATTTATTTTACCAAACCCTACATTTGTATAGTTTGTCCAGGTATAACTCCACCTTCATTTTCAGACTCTCATTGATCTGACAGCAGTAATTCTTGGCTGTTTGTCAGATTTGTTCAGGTCTCTTTCTTCGGTAAAGGCATCAGGATCTACTTTCCACTTTTTTTATCCTTGAGGCATTTGTTTATTTCAGTTTTTACAAAAACTCCGGGTTGTGAGCTAAACTAACACATTTGGAACTGACTAACTCTAAAAGCCAAACAAACTGATGTAAAGGAAGTTGCCGGCCTGTTTTTCCATGTCTGTAATGGCCAATACACTCGGTACTCAAATTATGGACATGGAATGGGAAGAGAGAAGGGTCATTTTACCAGGGGACAGAGCTTGATTCAGATCATCTATGTTTTTGTTTGCAAAAGCAACAGTTTGCAGTTCTCGAGTTCCTTCTTGCTAAAGTGGAAAAATGAACAAATTATTTATCATCAAAGAATATTTAACAGGATCAGTGTGAATCTACCAGGCTTACCTTTAGTTCCACTAACCTGTCAAATTGATAATAGAAATTAGAACTTCAGTTGCCATGGTAATTCTTAAAAGTTCACACTGTTCATTTCTTTTTCCTCAGGTGACCTGGAGATTGTTAGTAACGGGACTCGACGCCACACCAGAGATGTTGGAACCACGTTCCCCTCCCCTCGTGAGACCAGTGCTCCGAGGCAGCTCTCATCTTCATCCAGTGTAGAGAGAGAAAGACGAGGGCAAAGGAGCCCCTCTAAGAGTCAGGGCTTACATAAGGGCAAGAGGAGTCCATCAAAGCCTTACCCTCGAGGTGTGTTAAACTGACTAATGAAGTTTTTGTTTTAAAAGCATTACAGCCCTATTTTTATTGATTTATACCAGAATAAAACCAGTTATGTTGATTTGACTGCTGTGAATTTCCTTGGGCTCTTTCAGGCATTTCTTGGTTCATCTCTGCTGACAACTCAAGATCAGAGGCAAGGAAGGAGAACCAGCGAGAAGAAGAGTCAACATGGAGGCTGAGCACCGCCTGGTTTGAACCGTACAGCAGAAGGCATCTGTGGAGAGAACCGCTCAGACAGGTCCATGAGGACAGAAACAGGCAGCCAAGTTCTATACATCATGCTGCACCTGATCCTAGAATCAAAACGTTGTCCTCTGGTCTGGCACGTCTCTCTCTCCAGGTTGGTTTGCATTTGTACTTTTCTTTACAGTCCTCATGTAAAAGGGCTCGTACTTAGGACGGTATATTTGAGACATGAACAACTCGTTACAAATTGTCTGTTTTAAGGGACAGTGTTCTTTGTGGTGGGAGATTATTTTAGATTCCTCCACAGGTCAGGTTTGTCATGAGAAGTACAGCCAGTATAAACAGTTTTCAGACTCATGTTAAAATAGATCCAAGTCATTTTATTCCTCATCAATCTACAGACACTACTCCACAGTGATAGTGAAAACAGGTTTTTTGAGTGGTTTTTAAAATGTATTAAAAGTAAAAGACTGAAATATCCCATTTACATAAGTATTCAGACCCTTCACTTAGTACTTAGTTAAAAGCACCTGTGGCAGCAATGACGGCCTCGAGTCTTCTTGAGTGTGAAGCTACAAGCTTGGCACCTTTCTTTTGGAATTGTCTTCCAATTCTTCTTGGCAGAATCATTTAAAATGAACCAGGTTAGATGAGGAGCGTTGGTGCAGATAGTTTCAGGTCTGTTGTATGAAGGCCACGATCTGCTAACCCCTGGACGTAGGAATAAAGCTTAACCTCTCACACTAAGGTGGCATATTTGAAACCTATTAAAGCTCCAAACACTGCTTGAGGTTGTAGGACGGAGATATTCACTCAGTAATTAACTACCATGAACCTTTTTAAATTTATTTTACCACCATAAGACCTATCAAAAAAATTACATGGTTCCCTTTTAACGTCTCTTAGCTGCAGTTAATGATGCTTTTTAATCCTGCAGGAGGCTCTGGAGATGAGGCGTCCAGAGTTCATAGCTCAGTCCAGACAGAGGATGAAGCGTCTGGCTCTGCAGGTGGAGGAGAGGAAGCTGCAGGCCGTCTTCACCAGAGAGAGAGACGAACTCTTTCACCAGCATGAAGGACTGGGATGGCCGCCGAAGCCTGCAGGTATTCAACAGCAAACACTGGAAGAGGAGCTTGTGCTTAGTTCTGTGCTGAATAAGCTGATGCTTATCTGTCACAAGGTTTTTAGAAGCCACCCTTTGTTAGTAGTATTTATTAACTGTTATCTTTATGTTAAGGCACTACTCTGCTCAGGAGGGCTGTTCCCAGGAAGGAGATGATCCAGAGATCCAAACTGTAAGCTTTCTGACATTCTTATGTAATTCAATGAACAAGTCATTGGATTATTTTAACCAGATAGAAAAATGCTATGTAATTCAATGAACAAGTCATTGGATTATTTTAACCAGATAGTAACAATAGTAAAAACGCTAACATCTACTCTATATAAATACCTGTGGTGTAATTATGACTTTCCTAGATTGTGTTTTAAGTTATTGTTCACACAATGCTTAACCCTTTAACAAGGCTAATCTGGCAGACTTCATTCATCAGAACTGATATTCAGTGTTTTAAGTCTGGTCATTTTCTTTAATGGTATTTAACACTCTCCCTACTTTTCTTCAACTCACTGTTAATGTCAGTCCTGGATATTTGTCGGTGCCACACTTAATCTAGTATTATTCTTAGGGTTGCAGATATTGCATTAAATGTATTGACTGTACACCATCAGGTTAAAGGATGACTACAGTGTCAGCTGCACAATGGTTCAACTTTCACAGACTTTGTCTAAACATGTTTCTCCTCCAGGATCTATGAGAATCTGCCAGAGGTGCAGAGGAGACGACAGGAGGAAAGAAGGAAAGCTGAGTATCGCTCATATCGTCTGAACGCTCAGCTCTACAACAAGGTAGAACAAACAAACATCTCATCCAACATTAATCTGAGAGCTAGAAAAAACTTAAACATAGGTTGTCTTTCAGTTTTAATAAAAGCAAACGTATTCATACAGAGCAGTTTTAAAAAAGCAAACATTTTATTTTTTCAGAGAATCACCGGCCGTGTCCTGGGCAGAAGATCAGTGTGGCAGTGAGATTTTATTGTACAGTAAATCAGTGACATTGAAACATTTTTACATAAAATAGGAACAAAATGATCTAAACTGGAAGTTTTTATTTATGACCAATGTTTTAGTTGTATTTTAAAGATAATGCTAAAGTTGAATTCTACCCATAAATAGTGGCATCCACACTATTGTTATCCTGTTCTTTATTTTTCTGATTCCTTCCGTACATTTTTCACCACTGAATAAAAACCATTCATCCTTTGAAGAAGTCAGGACAAGTCCAGCTACTCATCTTGTATTTAGCTTTTTGATATCTTTTACGGTTTTTGGACATTTCTCAGCCTCTCCATTCATTTCAATGGGGAGAGCTAGAGTGGGTGACATCACTCGCACTCGAGCTCTGTCCTACAGGCTTTTTACTTTTTTTTTCCACCTGTTTTTATTTTTCAAAATGTTTTCCCGTTCACGTATAGTAAAGTCACTACGACTTGAAAACAATGGAATCAACTATGGATTCCAGTGAACTTCCAGGTTTTGATTCAAGACAACAGACAGATACCGGCTTTAATGTCTTTATTGGTTGTGCAAGATCAGGAAGCCACTAGAGAAGATGGGCCAGCTGCAGATTCAGTACATCAGCTGAGAGTGCACACAAACAGTGTCATGGAGAAATAAGTGCATTTTCCTTCTTAAACCCGACTTCTGTAGATGCACTACAGAATTCTAAAATAAAAAAAGTCATAAGTGTTTAACAAATCAATTAGCATGTCATTAACTAAAAGCCTTTTAAAATCAGCCATGGAAAATGTGAAGAGATTCTTTGGCAAAGATGTAGTTTTGGTAAAAAGAAATGAAAACTAAGGCAAAGTTACATATGAGACTAACCAGGAATCTGAGCAAAACACAGTCGGTAACTTTATCAATACAACCGGTACGTCGTGTATATCAAGCAAGTAAAACTAGAGAATAACAACGTCCACCATGTGTAATAAATACTAAATAACTTAAACCATGTAATTCTTCATCTGAAGTTCAGTCAGGCTGTTTTTAAATCTGCAAAAGAATTTCAGTCGTGTGTTACACAGTAAATCCCTAGAGAATAATGTGCAGTGACTGTGTTTTTAATGAAACCACAGGAGACTCCTGAACATGCACTGAATGTAACTTCACTGCTAAAATGTTTTGTCATCAGTGAAACATTAAAGAATGAAGTTGCATCCAAGTGCAGCTCATGTGCAGGACTTTCTTCTGTCACCCAGAAGTTACATGTGCAAAGCGTCTTTGATCTAACCACAGTTAAAACCTGCTACTTTTACTTCTATAATCATTTACATGTTTTTAAATAATCCTCCTTTAGACAGTCAAGTTATAAAAATGGAGTACACAACAGTGACACATGATTAAAATTTACAACATGCAGCCAGGATCCTTCATACCCTGTGTAAACATCAGCTTCAGTGCCAAAAGTGTAGCACAGACAAACGGAGCAGCATCCACTGTTCTGGCCTAATATAACCCACGCTGGCCAATAAAAGAGCATCATAAATGCTGTACGCAGCAAAAAGTAAACACATTTTTAGTAGATGTGTAAGCTATAGTTGGAGGACAGGGCTCATATCCTGAAGCTATCATTTACAGTAGGCAGGTAACCAAGTCGCTCCAAAAATAAGTCAAGTAGGATTTGATTTCAGTTTGAGCTTAACAACAGGGTCAAGGGGGGGGGGGGGGAATCAGCACAATGCCCTGAAGATATGTGACAGTGTTGTACCGTCATGTTATAAATAAGATGCTTTCCTGGGTTTAACTGGATTTTTGACTTACAATTTTCCAGAACAGTCAGGCCTGAAACCAGTGTTAATTATTAAGTTGAATTGTTAAAGTCCATTATAGTTGGCAGTCTAAAGTTGTCAAAATGGTTACTGAAACATAAATTAAGAGTCATCATTTCAGCTCTTAGTTCTCACTCGTAACAGCCAGGGACGAGACAAATCCTAGTTATCCCAAATCTAGAGTGATCATGACACCAGACTGGTCTCCAGCTACAGCCCTGACCGTCAGCTGTCCACTTGCCTTAATGAATGATGCCTGTCATTTCCCCAGTATTGACATGAAATACCTTCTGGGTGGGCTGGTTTTGGCCCTGGAGTGGAAGCTGACAGGGTGTGGTGTTGATGCTGCTAGGCAGGATCTTAGCTCCGGTGAAGTTTAGGTCCACAACAGGCTGTGAACTCTCTGCAGCTGAGACTCTGACAGAACGAGGCGGTGGACCTGCTCCTGGCCGCGAGGACATGGCACCATGACCCGACCCACCAGCACCGTGTCACCCTGTTTCTCCTCCTTTACCTGAACACACAAAGTGCAGAATATCAAGAGCTGCTGAGAGACTGTCACGTGGTTAATCCCTACCCCACTGACTTATTTCTCCCTTGATACATAAATTGATCAGAAGCTATTCTGACATGAAAATGATTTGACCTGTAAAAATTCAAATTAATTATAATTAGTGAGAACAGTCTTTACCTAGTAAAGTTGGGGTAAAAAACCAGAAAGCTTTCATGCACCCTCCTTTATTCATGAAATTACCAATACAGTGTAAAAGAAATGAGCAGCGGTGCTCTCACTATACCTTCACAAACGAGGTCGAAGGGAACGTGGCGAAGTCGGACAAGGCTCGAGCTCCTGGTTGCTGGATGACGATGTGCTCTGCTACCTCATCCTGACAGAAGAAGGAAACCAGAAGAATACTTTGCTTTTACCACAATACTGACTCCTGTAAGGCGAGTACACTGACACTTCTCCTGTTACAGTTTTATAATGACGTTTGTGTACCTTCAGTCTGTCCAGTGTGTCACTCAGGGACTCTAGTCTGGCTGTTTGTTCCAGAAGCTGGGCACTAGGTGTCACTGTAGGACAAAACAACTGTCATTCATACAGCAAAGGTGTTTGATTTGCTCTGTGGCTGCAATTTACTTTTATCTTAGTATCATAATTCTGCTTTTCATAAAACACTTGACTCTGATTGACTCTGTAACTCATTTGCAAACTGGGCTGAAGTCAGCAGATGCATTAGTTTGGTTACATTAGAGAAAGAACCTTAGAAAATATCAACTGGACTAGATTTCTAGATCGAAGACGTTTCACCTGTCATCCAAGAAGCTTCATCAGTTCTGACTGACTGGCGTTGAGCCAGAGATATTTATCCCCCCTGGTGGTGTTTCAGTCCTTAGAAGGCCAACACTGTCCCTTAACGACTGAGTCGTTACCTGTCTCTGGATCCTCCCCTGTCAACCGACGCCTATTGAAACACCACCAAGGGGGATAAATATCTCCGGCTCAACACCAGTCAGTCAGAACTGATGAAGCCTCTTGGATGACAGGTGAAACGTCTTCGATGTAGAAATCTAGTCCAGTTGGTATTTTCTAAGGTTATTTCAGTTTACTATGGCCTGGATGACTGAGAATCTGCACAGATATTAGAGAAAGAAATGGTCTTGTTGAGCAAGCAGGTTGGTTCCACTAAGTTAGTCATCTATGTTTCTGAAGGTGAAAACTTATGGTGAACAAACTCTGTTTTCACTAAACCTACTTTCTGGAAGGAACAGTCAAGTTTACAGGAATCAAACTGAAACGCTGCGACATAAGGCCACAACATTCACTTTATTAAAAGCTCCTATTACCTGACCTCCTCTTTCCAGATCATACCTGGAGACTTCCCGGTGATGTCCACTACCTTTACGTTGGCACTCATCTGCAGCAGAGTCTCCAGGAGCTGGTCAGTCTTGCGGTAGAGGGCGCTAGAGAGCACTTCAGGACGTCCGTCCCTGGAGGGAAGTTTGGTGACATGGAGCGGAGGCAGAGCGGCAAGCTGAGCACGTATCTTCTCCGCCTGAGAAGGATGAGATGTTACTGCAGCCAGGTGGATATGTACGTTAAATATTAACACACTGTGTTTAAGAGCATCAACATGGATCAAGTAACGCTGAGTGGGCAGTAACTGTGACTGTGCTGGACCCGAGGACAAAGGCTGCAGCCAAAACGGATTTTTAGAGTGAAACTTCTCTTATGTTCATATCAGGGTGGAGATATGAATCTAGAGCACATTAAAAGTTTGTACCTTCAGTCTGTTGTTGTCGTTCTTCAGGTGTTTGATGCACAGTCTCTGAGCTTCAATCTGCTGAGTCATCAGGGGAGAGTCGATCACCTGGATGCCCGAACCTGGGCCGACACCGGACATACTCGCTGTGGACAAGAACAGGTACACGTTATGTCCCCTCGGCCGTCATTCTTTCAATTATAGTGGATCCAAACAAGCAACTTGCACCTGCCTACTTTTAACATGTAGTTTGATAAAAACCTGAACTTAACCTAACATGCAGACTGTTGTGCAGTAGTGTAATGCAACCAAGTACATTTATTCAAGTGCAGTTTTGAAGTAATTGTACTTTATATACTGATGGAAATATTTTATTCCTCTACAGGCACAATGTGCCTTTCCTAGCAGCCCATGGTTGCATAAACATGTAACGGACATTAAGAAAATATTTCAGATTGATGTTAAACTGATTTTAGTACATTTTAAGAGCTGCAGTCAGCCTGATCACAACATGCATGCAGTAGGTAACTGCTGTCGAACCATGTACAATTAGGCATGCAGGGTCAGAACAGATGTCACTGCAAGATACCTTTTTGTTCCTCTGCAGTAAGTAGGTAAAACAGAAGCAATTCAAAGGAAAAGGTTACACACAGAGAAAAGACCAAGAGGAGGTTAGTCGAAAGGAGGAATTTAAAAAATAGCTTTTACTCTGGTGATTAGTTTTCACAAATCCCACGATACTAAAACCCACAATGAATTTTGTGTACTCACCAAACCTGTGTGTGAACCTAGACCCTGGTTCAGTTTACTGGTCTGTGCCAGAGCCCAAGACAGAGCTCCAGAAGAACAGCCTTCACTTTTTAGTCTCTGAAGGACGAGTCAGCTGAGCTCCGTGTAGACCGACCCACGTGGAGCGCAGGAAAGCATCTTGTGCGTGCACACGGTGACTAACCATGGACGCTGTACAAACAGGTCTCTGGCACAGACCATTTAACCGAACCAGGGTCTGGATTCACGCACAGTGGTGAGTACATGAAAGCCATTATGGGATTTGTGGAAAATAACCACAAAATAGAAATTTATTAGCATTTAAATCGTTTTTAAAGGATCATTTCACAACCACCTAAACACGAAGATCTGAGACCAGGTGATAAATGTGTATTATGTATTTAAGTTCATTTTTGGTTTTTGACAAACTCCTGGTTTCAAACATATTTAATAAACTATCATACGACAAGGAAAAGCAACAGCTGAGAAGCTAAAACCAGTTTTGTGTTGACTGCAGCGCTGCACTACACTGTCTGCTCATTACGTTTTCTCTCTACTCACCTCCAGACATTCCTGTGACGATGGAAGCGATTCCTGCCGGCCCGGTTCCTCTCAGCCCGTCTGCGGTCATCTTCGATTGGCTGTTGATTCGCTGCTTTAGCTCGGCCTTCTCTGACTCCAGCTGGTCGATGTCGGCCTGCAGAGCGTCCATCGTCTCCTCAAACTCCCTGCAGAGAGAACGACAGCACCACAGCGCTGTGAGCTTCTGTTTGTACCTAGATCTACGACGTGGGTTCGTGCTTCTTACTTCTCTTTCTTCTTCAGCAGAGTCTGGGCTTCATCCAGCCGTGTCTGAATCTTCTCCACACGTTCATCTGCATCTTTGGATGAGCTGTCCAGTTTCTTCTCCAGTAGACTGAGACGCACGCTTGCCTCGCTCAGCTCCTCTCCCTGAAAACACAGTTGATGCAAGAAAAATTTGGTCAATTACTTTCTTGACTGAGCGATGGATGATTTGATCCCCTGGAAGTGGAGCGTTGTAGTTTTCTGTGGTCGTGTTCAGTAGCACCAGGGTCAACAATGTTTAGTGGATGGTATGTGGGAGGACACATCTACTGTTACACCAGAAACATACTTATATATTGATACTTAATATTTGTCACTGTAAACAAACAGTCTATAATGTGTTAAATTAGTAGTCCAAGTAACAGATGTACAATAACTGCACATCAGTCCAATGGAGAGACCAGTTAAACATCAGAATGTGTTTGCATCCCAGCTGAGCTTCCCTACCTTGATCTTGAGCGACTTCTTCAGCTCTTTGATGACAGTTTCTCTGTCCTCCAGCTTCAAGCCAAGACCTTCTGCATCTGTGATTTCTGCTCGAAGAGCCGCCGCTCGCACATCGACAGGTGGAGGGTTCTAGGTGATGACAATGTAACATGAGAATAAAATATGCATCTGTCAAAGAATTTTGTCAAGGTTTAAAATTTACCTTGTTCTGAGGTTTCTCTGAGTCGTACTCTCCCTCCTGCATGGCGGTGGCCATCTTGTTCATGGTTGCTATGACCATGCCACAGGACTGCCGCAGACACTCGTAGGGGTTGGCCCCAGGCGAGCCATAAATCTGGAGATTACACCATGACCGTTAAAACCACTGGGGCCTCTCAGTAACCAGAACTGTCTCAAACAGCTACCTGTGTCGTTGCACATACTGTAACTACCACTCACTGTCACTGTACCCAGACTGTTCTCACCACGTGGTGACAAGGTTCAGTGAATAAAGAACTGATCTCACCTGTTCTTCAGCAGCATTAACATTTCAGTAAAGTAAATCACATACATTATATTAATGTCAACCACAATCCTACAAATGCTTTTCACAGGAAAAAAAAAAAAACTGGGCTTGAACTGAAGATACACGACCATTTGTATACAAACATGGAATCTTTGAGCTACTTGCTGGTCGGGCTCAGCTTTTCTCGTCCAATTTCCCGTGTTTGAAACAGATGTTTTAATGTACATACCTGCTCTCCTGCTTTGAAAGCCACATTCTCCAGTTTGACGGCCGACAGCCCCTCCTGTTCACCGAAAGGCGACATCATCTGAGCTCCAGCTGCTGCCACTTCTTGCAGCACCGCCACCACCCACGTCAGGTGCTTCCTACAGTCTGAGAGAGTGTCCGACACCTGTGGGGCAACAGTTAAATATCACTGTAGAGGATATGACACAAAGTCATAGTGAGCCCTAAAACCTGAGTCAGGATTTTTGCACTTTTGGTTCCCAGGCTCCAAAGTCAGTGCGTTTTCTGAATGGGTTTTTGGTTCGATGTCTAAAATAAAGTCTGGTTAACACAAGGTGAAAAGATTTTCACATTTTATTCTACAACACATGACTTTTAAAGCTTTTACTTGTCTTTAAAACGGCAGTTGCTAACAAGTGGCTAAATGAGACTGAGGTTTTCTGGGATATTAAATGGCATCACGCTGAACAAGGAGACTCATCTACTCACTAGTCCACCTTTACAGCCTCCTTATGTTTACAATCGCACACTTTCAAATTATCCCAACTGATCGCTAGCTAGATCAGGTCACGGTAAGAGGAAAGAGGAGGTAATGCGCTAAACCAGATTACAAACTGGAAGCTGTGTTGTAGTTCGTTTAGAGCCCAACAACAACTTTTTACTTCTGGTGATTGATCGTATTTGGCCTTCAGAAATTATAAAAGTCCACTTGTGACAATTATCTTGAACAAAACGTGTTTGTCACGGCTTATTTTTTGCAGTAATTCATAAGTCTGTGGAAAAATCTCAATGGTTTTCTGTTGAGGGAACAAAGACACATCATCCCTAAGGCACTCTAGACAATACCCTTTCACTTTGGTTGCCATGTTTACCTGCTGTCCAAAGTTGAGGGCGGCTGGGATGCCGGGCGCATCTGTTCCTGGCATCCTGCGTCGAATCTTCTTGCAGAATTGTCGGATGTCGCTGCAGGACGTCTCCAGGTCCTTGAACAGCACAGCGAGGTCGGCTTTCTCCTGGCCTGCGTGCAGGAACGCCCGCAGACGACTGACCTCCACAGCCATGCAGTCCAAGGCACTCTGGGTAAACTACACACAACACAAAAACATAATTACAGGTAAGAAATGTGATGTACACACTGATTCTCCACAAATCCTAAGCAGAGAGACGGACAACAACAACATGTCAAAGTGGTGGACGTGGATTGTGGTTTCACATTTCTTTGGTGTCTAGTGATCTTGCTACTCACTCTAATGTGATCAGCCAGCTGCACGGTGCAGTCCTCACTCTGATCTGCCAGGTGGATGCTGTACAGGTGCTGGAAAAGGAAATGCCATTAAAAAGTAGGGTCCCCTCACATATTCTGGTCTCTGTCCCTGGTTTATTTGAACTGAATAGTTCAGATCATTTTCACAATGTAATGTGCTTAAGTGTAAAAGTCATGTTACAAAGGGCCTGATGTACTAAATCACTAGAGCCCAACATGGCTGATAGATTATGAAACATCACAGATCAACACCATGTCAGTGAAACTTTAATCTGGATAAATGACAAGTATGACCATTTTCATTGATTTTCTGTGGGAATGATTAGTACTGAAATGATTAATCAGTTAAATGGACTGTATTAATGTATAAACAGTTGCTTGTGTGTGTGTGTGTGTGTGTGTGTGTGTGTGTGTACCTGATAGTATTTAATGGCCTTGGTGAGCTGCTCCACATTGACCGTCTCATCCAGCTGATCTTTGTGCAGCAGATCAATGAGGAAATCCAGAGATCGCTCATGGACGCTCATCTCAGGATATAGAAAGCCAATCTTCTTATAGACGTCCACACTGCACTGAGCCAGAGCTCTGACACACACACACACACACACACACACACACACACACGAGTAAGTGTATATACACCTTACATCAGTACAGTCCCACAAAAGACAACAAAACACAGTCAACCTAAGCTGCGTGTTTTTGGACTGTGGGAGGAAGCCAGAGCTCCCGGAGAGAACCCACGCAGGCACACGGAGAACATGTTTAATGTTAAGCCGTGTGGTAATAACGAGCCACATGTTATGAAAGCATGCTCAATAAATCTCAAGACAGAAAAAAGCTGTAAACTATCATTTACTGTGTGTGGTGAGTATAACAAATAGCCTGAAGATAAAGTTTTGGATGAGCTGAATGCAACGCTGAACAGACACTAGTTTATTAGGTACACCAAGCTCAAACTAAGTCAGTCTAATCCAACGGTCCTGCAATACGTGCTCCTCCACGTAGGTGATGATGTTCAGTTTGTGTTCAACTGTCTGATAATCTTGGAGGCTGGTGACAGGGGTGTCTGTTACTTAGACTGATGTAAACAGCCGCAGATTCCCTCTGGGCTGCTCATTAGCAAAGCAAACAGCATGGAAGACAGAGTCTCGCAGAACAAGAAGACTGAGGACGTACTGCTCGTATTTGTGCAGCGTGGCCTGCACCAGAGCGAGCGAATAGACCAAACCAGCGGCGAAGCTCAGCTGCTCCCCGACAGCTCCTTTCAGCCCAGCCCGTTCCACACAGCTCTCATTCAGGTCAAACTTCTCCTGCGCCTGCTTGCTGATCAGCTCAGCCTACAGACACAAAAACAGAGGCGCAAACGACTCAAAGAAAAAGCTGTGGTGCCTTTCCACATCTCAGTTATGTCACAGCTTTAAAAAAACTTTACTGATATTTTCTCCATTGTTATTGGTTCCTTTGTTCAGTGAAATCGAGGAGGAACAGCAGCTATTTCCTGGCCTCTCATCAGCAGTGTGCCTCATGGTGACAGTGACTGGCTCTGTGTCATGCCCCCTCCTGCTTCTCACACCACTTTTACAGCAAACAGTGAACTGTGTGGTGTGGTGTTTACCTTGCAGATGAGCCTGGGGATGAGTAGCAGCACCAGGATGCAGTCGTGGTCTCCGCCGTGACGAAGGAAGGACTCGGGCATGAAGGACGTCAGAAGAGAAACGTGTCTGTTGGCCTGAGCCACCTCCATCTTCCTCAGCTCCATCTCAATGGCCTGGATGCACAGAAGAAGACAAACAGTTCATGTAAGATTTATCTGCACAGCCTGAAGAAAACCATGAGAAGTGAAATCCTGTTACTGTTTCTGACCTTGGCGTACGCCTTTGTCTCTGCAAACTTGATCTTGAAATCAAACATCTCTGCCGGCGGTTGCTGCTGCAGCTCTGCTGTCGCTTCCTGCCGGATGGGCCGTTTCCTCCTGCAGCAGAAAACAGGATGAATGAGGAGAGAGTGGCCCGTAAAACAAGCACCATCAAATAATGTGCTACATGCTAAGAATGGGACGAAGCCATTTCCTCAGCATCTGTACCTGCAGGTGAGCGGTGAGCTCGCGGTACTTCTTGATGGTCTGCTGGTAGTCAGCTACAGTCTCCTGGGCAGCTTCCACTCGTTTTTCAGCCTCTCGGACTCTCGCAGCTCCCAGATCCAACATCTCCCTCAGCTCCAGCTCCGTCTCTCTGGCATTCTCCTGCAGTTCGTCGTTCATCTCATTGATCGCTTCCTGAAGGATGGAGACAAACACTGATGATCTTTTTCAGTCTCTAAATGGTTCCCTCTTCCAATCTTTTAGATCGTTTTGCACCAGTTGACAATAATGACAAACTTTATTCTGCAAACCTATAATGATTTGAAAGATAAAAATTCTGCACACACTTTAAGTGGTGGCTTTTCCCAAGTTTCCCCCAACCCTAACCCTAACCCTGACAATCAGACACATTCAGATCATTCATATTTCAACTATGGCTGCAGTGGTAACAGATACCAGAGCGAGGTCCACGCATACGAACGACCTCAGTCCGTATCGACTGTGAAATGTGTCAGCAAACAGTGGCACCCTGATTTTCTCCCAAATATACACAGAGGGAAAATGAGTTGAAGACGTTGATCCAGCTGCTGTTCTTTAAATGGATAAACATTAGTCTGCTTTTCTTTCCTGCTGTCAACAGACAACATGAATTAAACCGAACAACCAGATGAGCCTGATGTGTTTCACTCACCAGGTCAGTCACCGTCTCTCTTAGCTCTCGGACTTTCTCCTCCAGGTCCAGGTTTCTTTCCGTCAGCATCTCCACCATCTCCTCTGCACCTAAGGCTGCATCCACCTGACAGAGCACAGTGAACTGAGTGACAAACATGCCCTTATACAGAAAAGACAGGGGAAGCTGTTGCTGGCCTTCCTCCTGAGTGCCAGCTGCTTCTAGTTTAGTGCATAATGTAGAAATCAAGCGTCTTCCTACAAATATTAAGTATAATAATAGATGCTACCTTATCCTGGACTTCTCATATAGAAGGTCTTTGTAGGAATTTACAGAGGTTTATCTACTTTCTTCACAGCAGCCAGATTGTTTTTCTGTTCGTTATGACAGAGTGTCACCGTCCTACAGAACAGCTGGAGGTGGCTTCAGGATGCAAAATAAATTTCAGCGTAACTCTGACGTAGTTCCATTGCATCACGTCTTCACTTCAAACCAAAACCGCTACAGTATGAGGAGTCAGTAAACCGACATCCTGCTGGCCTGCAGAGTCACAGATATCAGTGCAATGACTGCACAGGTGCAGCGCCTCTTTGAACGCCCCACGTGTTAAAACACCGACCTGTTCCTTCAGCTCATCAATGGTCCTTTCTGCCGCCGTCAGCTCTTCCTGCATCTTTTCTTTCTGGCTCCTCAGAGAGTCCAGCTCCACGTTCTTCTTCTCCATCTGCTTCTGCAGCTTCACGTGTTCCTGCTTCTCTGATGCCGACAGATCACGCATCCTGACACAAGAGAAAACATATCGTTTAGTGCACAGGTCATGGAGCTGTGATGTCCTGGCTTAAAATCTCACCTAGGAAAATTACTGAAATTCATTCCTCTCTCCCTTGACCTTTCTTGTTCTTCATTACCATCAGCTGATATGAATGACACTATAATAATTAGTGGCATCTGAGACTTTTCCTGTCCTGCAGGGTGAAGAGACTGTCCACAGTCCTACCTGACCAGGGCTTCTTTCAGTCTGCTGTTCTGCTCTTCCAGCTGTTTGACGTGATAGCTGGAGGCAGCTCCATCTGAACCTGTGACAAACCCACAACATAGCTGAGTTCTATAGTATAAAAATACCCAGAACAAATTAAATCTGTCTGATTTATATCATCAAATGATGCCCCAAATGAATTTATGTTGGCGTCTGTTGTTGTCAAACAGATGATGGAAAGCCCTTAGTTTCAATTAAACAAATGGCACAGGCTCAATCACTGTTAGCTCCACTTGCTACAGTTGGAAAAGTAAAACTTTCAGGATCAAGAAAAGTAGGCAGCAACGATAACTCAGCCAACATTTCTAACAAATATAAGCATGGTTACTTATTTTAAGTTCTCTGTCTTGGCCAAACCTTTCTCCTCGATCTCGTGCTTGAGGATCTCCAGGTCCATAGTGAGCTCATCCACTCTCTCCTTGAGGGAGTCGACCTCCAGCTGCAGAGACTCCGCTCTCTCCTCAGCCATCTCCTTATCCAGCGTGGCCATCTCGATGGCGTCCGCAGTGTCCGACATCTCCTCCACGTAACGCTCCTTCGCCTCCAGGGCTTCCTTAGCCTCCTGCACATTACACAGAAATTCAGTGTGCGCTGTTCTGGTTTGTCTATATCGTCTTTAGGACATGCAATCACATTTCTCAGTTCATTGCTCACTTCTTTTTTTTAAAAGTCGATAACTTCACTGAAAGGCAGTAAAACAACAGCTTCCGAACGTATTCAGACCTCTTCGCTTTTTGCACACATGTAATCATGTTAAACATGATCTCGATACTCAACAAACTAATCATGATTATGTTTTTCCATAATTATGCAACGCTACTCAGAGCTTTAGAAACCGTTTCATACTCTTGTCCTGCCGTTTCATCGGAGGTCTGCAGAGAGCTCACGGTTTGGTTTATGTCCCAGCATTCCGTGTGAATTGTAGAACCTCATATACACTAAAGCAAACAGGATGCACCTGAGCAAAGCAAAGGATCTGAATACCAAGTGATAGATTTCAGTTTAATACATTTCCATCCATCCATCCATTTTCCTCCGCTACCTATGGTCATGAGCTTTGGGTCATGACCGAAAGGGCAAGATCCCGGATACAGGCGGCCGAAATGAGCTTCCTCTGCAGGGCGGCCGGGCGCACCCTTAGAGATAGGGTGAGGAGCTCGGTCACCCGGGAGGAGCTCAGAGTAGAACCGCTGCTCCTCCACATCGAGAGGAGCCAGCTGAGGTGGCTCGGGCATCTGTTTCGGATGCCTCCTGGGCGCCTTCCTAGGGAGGTGTTCCGGGCATGTCCCACCGGGAGGAGGCCCCGGGGAAGACCCAGGACACGCTGGAGGGACTATGTCTCTTGGCTGGCCTGGGAACGCCTTGGCATCCCCCTGGAGGAGCTGGAGGAAGTGTCTGGAGAGAGGGAAGTCTGGGCATCTTTGCTTAGACTGCTGCCCCCGCGACCCGGTCCCGGATAAATTTTAAAAAATGTCTTTTCACTTTTACATAGTGGGTTATTGTGTGTAGACTGATGAACAATTTTATCAATTCAAAATTAAAGCTACAACATGAAAAGCGTGCAGAAAGCGAATACTGTCTTTTCTCAGCTGCGCTGGGTCGACCTGCTTTAATGGACTTACTAATCGCATTAGTGCAGGTTTGTCTCTTGTTTCTGGATGCACTGAAACCATTTCAACTTAAAAATTATCCAGCCACCCACTCATTCATAAAGCAGTCTCTTCGGCATCTACCTATCCATGCACTCGTACAGCATCTTCATCCTCCATCCTGTTGCTTCTTACCCTCTTGGCCTCTTTGAGATGTTTCTGCAGCTCGGCCTGCTGCTCCTGCATCTTGGTCTTCCACTCCTGCAGCTGCTCCAGCTGGATCTTGTGTTTCTCCAGCTCCTTCAGCTTGGCTTTGTCCTCTGTCCGCTTCATCTTCAGAGTCTCCAGCTTCTCCTCCAGGTCCTTCACCTGAGCACGGAGAGCCTCCTCCTCCTGGATGAAGGACATATCAAATCAAATCAAATCAAATTTTATTTGTATGGCGCCAAATCACAACAAAAGTCATCTCAGGACACTTTACAAAGTAAGGTCTAGACCTTACTGTTATCAATATTATTACATAGGGAAAACCCAATAAATCCCCCTGAGCAAGCACTTGGCGACAGTGGGGAGGAAAAACTCCCTTTAACGGAAGAAACCTCCGACAGACCCCGGCTCTTGGTGGACGGCCTTCTGCCTCGACCCACTGGGGTGAGTGGATAGAGGAGAGACAAAAGAAGAAAAGCAACAAGACACAACAAACAATCAAACACTGATCAGGTCGATGTGGCTGGTGACTGCTCGTCAGAGATGTAGAGCTCCAGGGCAACCTGCAGAAAGGTACAGGGAGAGAGAGAGGACACACTACGGGAGAGAGTAGACACAAAGTTAGTAATGTGTAATGGTGGCATATAGAAGCATAGGGAGGGAGGGAGAGGAGAGCAGAGCAGGAGGGGAGGGGAAAGAAACTCAGAGCATCATGGGCCCCCCCAGCAGCCTAGGCCTATAGCAGCATAACTAAGGGAAGGCTCAGGGTCACCTGATCCAGCCCTAACTATAAACTTTATCAAAAAGGAACGTCTTAAGTCTAATCTTAAAGGTAGAGAGGGTGTCCGCCTCCCGAACTGAGACTGGGAGTTGGTTCCACAGGAGAGGAGCTTGATAGCTAAAGGCTCTGCCTCCCAT